ACCACACTCTCCGAGAAACGTTTCAAAAGGAACTGTATTACGCGAAAAAACGAAAACAAGCTCTAATCCTCGGAACGCAAAATTCAACCCTAATTCACTTAATAATCTGGAGCAGTTCGCTCCTCTATCGTCTTTTGTCAAAGGACAATGGATTTTGGGGCCTTTTAATTCGGCGAGGACAATTATTTCCAAATCCTTAATGAGGAAACGAGTGTTTTACTAATTCTCAACGATCGTTCTCCTGATTAATTCGTTTTGGCAGGGATTAATGAATAGGGATCCTGACCCTCTCCACTCGATTGGACTGGATTTTCTATTATTTCACTCCATATTATTTTAATGAAATCATTTATTTCAATGATACCTATTCGGTGAGAAAAACCTTTTATCTTGCGGAAATAAAGAAAAAAAAAACAGTCATGTAACTCTGGCAGCTTTAATTAAAGTCGCCCTCCCCGTTAACAATGCCTTTGGTACGATTTCCCCATGTTTAAATGCAGGTTTTCTCTCTTTTCTTTAATTTTCTTAAAGAAAATATTTACTTTGTGTTCGAATTTCGGTGCCTCAGCTGACACTTTTTTTTCTTCCTTTGAAAAACGAATTGTTCTCGGGAATTGGATTTTCTTTCTTTCGGGTGCAAGAATGATTTTTGAACTACCTGGAGTCCATAAATAACTCATACGTTTATCTTAAAACGTCCCGAAGTATTCATAAACAACGCACGACCAAACAAGGATATATTGTCCGTAGGAAATATCGTCGTCGGCGAGAAATGGGACAGGATTCCTTGTTTCTGGAGCAAGTTCACTCGGAGACACATAAATTTCTCCGGGTGTTTGGAAACGCGGCCCCCGGACACAACTATTCGATTTGGGGTCGATGCTTTTTATTTAGCGGCTTTGAGATTTTGTATGCGTCTCAACTAAGAACTAAAGCGATTTATTTTCAAATAGTATCAATCAAAAAATCATGAATTAATCTAATACGGAGCAAAGTAGTCTGTTAGTAGGTATGACGTGGAATTGACTCATCCCCACTATGTCTATTTTTGAGCTAATGTGACGCTATAACTACTTCCGTTCTTTAATTCTCCTTGAATGATATTAGAAAGTAAATATCAGTAGAGAACGATCTCAGCGACTGTATTTAAAAGTTGGAGTAAAAATTATTATTTTTAAGAGCAGAATTATTGCTTAACACGATTTTATCTCAGGAACTATGAGTGCAAATGAGCTGAAATTTTCAGGGATTGTAGTCCCTTGAATGGGATAAAATTCAGTGAAAGTTTCAGCTTTCTATCTATAACAGAAAAAAAGTTATGACTTTTCAAAGTTTTCCAAAATCTAAATCATAAGGTAAGTACCTTCTAACTAAAACGATGAAATTTCAAATTTTTCTTGTCGAGATTTTGTGTCCTAATGGTCAATCAACATACTCCAAACTCCATACACTAAATTATTCTCAGATTTAAAGCCGAAATCTATGAAAAAAGGCACTCAGAAATATTGAAAAATTGATAAATCACCCCAAATTGCTTAACACGATTTTATCTCAGGAACTATAAATGTAAATAAGTTGAAATTTTCAGGGATTGTAGTCCTCTACTGGAACAAGAACCGCTGAAAATTTCAGCTTTCTATCTATAATAGAAAAAAAGTTATGATCTTTCAAAGTTTTCCAAAATCTAAATCATAAGGTAGGTACCTTCTTACTGAAACGATGAAATTTCAAATTTTTTTTTGTCGAGATTTTGTATCCTAATGGTCAATCAACATACCCCAAACTCCATACACTAAATTATTCTCAGATTTGAAGCCGAAATCTATGAAAAAAGGCACTCAGAAAAATTGAAAAATTGATAAATCACTCCAAATTGCTTAACGCGATTTTATCTCAGGAACTATAAGTGTAAATAAGTTGAAATTTCCAGGGATTGTAGTCCTCTACTGGAATAAGAACCGCTGAAAATTTCAGCTTTCTATCTATGATAGAAAAAAAGTTATGACTTTTCAAAGTTTTCCAAAATCTAAATCATAAGGTAGGTAGGTACCTTCTTACTGAAACGATGAAATTTCAAATTTTTTTTTGTCGAGATTTTGTATCCTAATGGTCAATCAACATACCCCAAACTCCATACACTAAATTATTCTCAGATTTGAAGCCGAAATCTATGGAAAAAGGCACTCAGAAAAATTGAAAAATTCATAAATCACTCCAAATTGCTTAACGCGATTTTATCTTAGGAACTATAAGTGTAAATAAGTTGAAATTTCCAGGGATTGTAGTCCTCTACTGGAATAAGAACCGCTGAAAATTTCAGCTTTCTATCTATAATAGAAAAAAAGTTATGACTTTTCAAAATTTTCCAAAATCTAAATCATAAGGTACCTACCTTCTTACTGAAACGATGAAATTTCAAATTTTTTTTTGTCGAGATTTTGTATCCTAATGGTCAATCAACATACCCCAAACTCCATACACTAAATTATTCTCAGATTTGAAGCCGAAATCTATGGAAAAAGGCACTCAGAAAAATTGAAAAATTCATAAATCACTCCAAATTGCTTAACGCGATTTTATCTCAGGAACTATGAGTGTATATAAGTTGAAATTTTCAGAGATTGTAGTCCTCTACTGGAATAAGAACAGCTGAAAATTTCAGCTTTCTATCTATAATAGAAAAAAAGTTATGACTTTTCAAAATTTTCCAAAATCTAAATCATAAGGTACCTACCTTCTTACTGAAACGATGAAATTTCAAATTTTTTTTTGTCGAGATTTTGTATCCTAATGGTCAATCAACATACCCCAAACTCCATACACTAAATTATTCTCAGATTTGAAGCCGAAATCTATGGAAAAAGGCACTCAGAAAAATTGAAAAATTCATAAATCACTCCAAATTGCTTAACGCGATTTTATCTCAGGAACTATGAGTGTATATAAGTTGAAATTTTCAGAGATTGTAGTCCTCTACTGGAATAAGAACAGCTGAAAATTTCAGCTTTCTATCTATAATAGAAAAAAAGTTATGACTTTTCAAAATTTTCCAAAATCTAAATCATAAGGTACCTACCTTCTTACTGAAACGATGAAATTTCAAATTTTTTTTTGTCGAGATTTTGTATCCTAATGGTCAATCAACATACCCCAAACTCCATACACTAAATTATTCTCAGATTTGAAGCCGAAATCTATGGAAAAAGGCACTCAGAAAAATTGAAAAATTCATAAATCACTCCAAATTGCTTAACGCGATTTTATCTTAGGAACTATAAGTGTAAATAAGTTGAAATTTCCAGGGATTGTAGTCCTCTACTGGAATAAGAACCGCTGAAAATTTCAGCTTTCTATCTATAATAGAAAAAAAGTTATGACTTTTCAAAATTTTCCAAAATCTAAATCATAAGGTACCTACCTTCTTACTGAAACGATGAAATTTCAAATTTTTTTTTGTCGAGATTTTGTATCCTAATGGTCAATCAACATACCCCAAACTCCATACACTAAATTATTCTCAGATTTGAAGCCGAAATCTATGGAAAAAGGCACTCAGAAAAATTGAAAAATTCATAAATCACTCCAAATTGCTTAACGCGATTTTATCTCAGGAACTATGAGTGTATATAAGTTGAAATTTTCAGAGATTGTAGTCCTCTCCTGGAATAAGAACCGCTGAAAATTTCAGCTTTCTATCTATAATAGAAAAAAAGTTATGACTTTTCAAAATTTTCCAAAATCTAAATCATAAGGTACCTACCTTCTTACTGAAACGATGAAATTTCAAATTTTTTTTTGTCGAGATTTTGTATCCTAATGGTCAATCAACATACCCCAAACTCCATACGCTAAATTATTCTCAGATTTGAAGCCGAAATCTATGAAAAAAGGCACTCAGAAAAATTGAAAAATTCATAAATCACTCCAAATTGCTTAACGCGATTTTATCTCAGGAACTATGAGTGTATATAAGTTGAAATTTCCAGAGATTGTAGTCCTCTCCTGGAAAAAAAGAACAGTGTGAAAGAGTTGAAGGGTACAAACAACATAACTATGCAAAACAAACAAAGTATCGCTAACCATTTCAATTATTATTTTTGTAGTGTTGGTCAGAATTTGTCCAAGAATATCAAGGCTGATAGAGGTGTCAATTTTGAAGAAACAGTATGTAGGAATAAAATTAAACTAAAACAAACCAATTCATTGGAGGTATTTGATATCATAAACACACTAAAGCTAAAAAAAGCTCCTGGGCCAGATGGACTAACTGCAGAAATTATAAGAGAAATCGCGATATATATAAAAGAGCCGCTAACGTTTATCATCAATAAATCGATTACTGACGGTGAATACCCATCAGCTTTTAAAGAAGCTGTTGTGAAACCATTGTACAAATCGGGGGAAAAATCAACAGTATCAAATTACAGACCTATATCCTTAATTAGTAATTTATCAAAGATATTTGAGAAAGTTTTAAAACAGCAAATTTTGTCGCATTTGGATGTAAACAATGTCCTCTCCGAGTATCAATATGGATTTCGAAAAGCGAGATCAACTGAGGATGCAGTGGCGAACTTAGTTTCAAAAGTAAATACTTCACTCGACAATGACGTTCCTTCCATTTGCATCTTCGTTGATCTTGCAAAAGCATTCGACACCATTTCCCAACCAATTATGGTCAAGAAACTTCAAAACATTGGATTTGCGGGCAATGACTTGAACCTAATGAAAAGTTACTTGGATGGCAGAAAGCAAAGAGTTGATGTTGATGGCGCACTTAGTGATTGTTTGAACGTGGAATGCGGCGTTCCTCAGGGAACCGTGCTCGGCCCACTTCTATTTATTATATATGTAAACGATCTTTTCAAAGTCAAGGGGGGGCCGAGGTAGCGGCGTTCGCTGATGATGCCGGGTTTTATTATACTGGAGATACCTGGGAGCAACTCAAAGAGAAAATAAAAAATAACTTTGGTAAATACATTGAGTGGTTTAATACGAACATGCTTACAGTTAATTTCAAAAAAACAACCTTTATGCCTTTCACATGTTATAGCAGCAAACTACCGCCATATGACTCAATCCAACTAAAGTTCAATTCAGAAAACGTTATCCTAGAAAGTTGCAATAAGTTTAAATACCTTGGAGTCTTTCTTGACAGTCATTTAAGGTGGGACTACCATACCGAATATGTTTCAAACAAATTAAGATCATTGTTGCACAACTTTCGTTTCTTCACTAAAATCTTTAATGTTGCACAGCTTAAAATATTATACTATGCACTTGCGCAGTCCCACTTAAATTATGGGATTTTAGCGTGGGGTGCTGTCACTAATAAGTATCTAGAGTCGGTTACTATAACGCAAAAATGGATAATTAAAATTATATTAAAAAAGGATAGACTGTATCCGACTCATTTGCTGTTTAGCGAATCCAGTATTTTCGATGCAAGACAACTCTACTTCCAAAAAATTGCACTGGGTCTTTTTCAGAATAAGATTCATGTGTCAAGTGTTGATCACTCATATGCAACAAGAAATCGTAGAAATCAGGCAGTTGCAAGGCCCAAAGTCTCAAAAACTATAGGTCAAAGATGTTTTCAGTTCATAGCTCCCACAGTTTATTCAAAAATCGTAATATTTCTTCATACTCCGTCCACACTAGCTTTTAAATACAAGCTAAAATTATTTCTTAGAACCCAGATAACTCGAGATGAGGTTCATAGCATAATAGATTTCAAAAATAATTAGAATCCATACGTTCTTTTTCCTCGCCTTCAAGATGGTAAAAATGTGACCCATCAGGCTTGAAATTTTGCTATCATTGTTTTTGTTACTCTCCATCAAATTTTTCTTGGGTGGGTTTTAGATTAGCTTTATATACAAATAATTCAAAAAAAAAAATATATATATATATATATATATAGTACAACGGTCGAAATTTGATCGTGGCGCCATCTAAGACAAAACCTCAACACCAAGCAGCAATTTTCGCTGCAATATGGTGACTGAGAATCTAATCGGCCGACCAAAATTCAGTTCGTGGGAAAACCCAGAATAGGAAAACCTATTATCCACTGATGAGAAAATATTTGGTTTGATTTTCTATGCTTTTCCATCCATTTTGGTCGGCCGATTAGATTCTCAGTCACCATATTGCAGCGAAAATTGCTGCTTGGTGTTGAGGTTTTGTCTTAGATGGCGCCACGATCAAATTTCGACCGTTGTACTATGTATATATTGCCTACAGGCACGAAACTTGGTTTGGTTTTCTTTGCTTTTCCTAGCCATACTGATGAGACCTGATAGGTCGAAACGCGTCTATGGATGGAAAAGCATAGAAAATCAAACCAAATATTTTCTTATATATATATATATATATTTATATGAACTGATAGGTAGTTAATTGGTCATTTTCCTGGGTGATTGTTCGGGGGACCTTATATCCCATTCTACGCGCGAGTTCCACTCTTGTAGAGGATTCCTAAGGTTGCCTGAATTTTTATTTGGTAAGAAATATCAGGAAATAGATTAATTTATTGTAATTATTGGGTTAGATTAGAATTAGATTAGATATTGAATACTTATGTTGTATATATGTATATATTCCCACGTACGAGGATTCTCTTGTGGGAAAACCCTGTATTTATTGTTTAGGATAAGTCATAAATGTACAAATTGAAAGATTAACAACAATAAATGCTATATAATAATAATAATAATAATAATAATAATAAAGGCACTCAGAAAAATTGAAAAATTGATAAATCACTCCAAATTGCTTAACGCGGTTTTATCTCAGGAACTATAAGTGCAAATGAGCTGAAATTTTCAGGGATTGTAGTCCTCTACTGGAATAAGAACCGCTGAAAATTTCAGCTTTCTATCTATAATAGAAAAAAAGTTATGATCTTTCAAAGTTTTCCAAAATCTAAATCATAAGGTAGATACCTTCTTACTAAAACGATGAAATTTCAATTTTTTTTTTGTCGAGATTTTGTGTCCTAATGGTCAATCAACATATTCCAAACTCCATACACTAAATTATTCTTAAATTTGAAGCCGAAATCTATGAAAAAAGGCACTCAGAAAAATTGATAAACCACCCCAAATAGTTTATATATACAATTGAATTCCTTTAAAGCTGATGTCGTTTTGATCGAACAGCCTATATACGCCCGACAAAATAAATAAAAGTTTCTCTCGTTGTCTCTTCTTCTTAGAAAAATAATTCCTAAATCCCGGATTTCAGCTCGAGAATAGCCAGCTTAAGACTATATATATAGGCACGCAGCTTTAAAAAAAATTCCGCTACAAATACAAACATTTACATAAATGCAACAATACAATTCGATCCTCTTGAGTCCAGTTTCGGCTTTGATCTCGGAACTACAGCCTCCTTTCCCTTAAAATCGCTTATAGAGAGAAGAAAGAGAAGGATCTGCATTTTTATATCCATTTATTTTGTATTATATTATATAATACGCTTTCGTTCAGGATCCTCCTTTCGGTAAACTTGCAGCAGTAATTTCGTTTTGGGAAAACAAAGGCGATGGTCAATATTGGATAGTTTCAAAAGGGGATATTGCATATTGGCTATAGATGAATACAGGGTGAAGATTATTATTGAAATGAGAATCTGCAAAACAACTTTCAGCTCATTGCTTGGAATCTAATTCTTTTACTATATAAAATTCAGATAGTTGAAGCTCTAAAACCAGCAAAGAAAGTAGTTATAGTGCTACTTTAGACTAAAGTAGGCATAGTGGGGGAAGGCTAGAGCAACGCCACACCTACTGACGAATTACTATGATCGGTATTAGATTAATTTTTGTGTATCTGGAATCTTCACTTCATTCACTTGCTCAGATAAACCAGCAGCCTTTTTACGATTTCTTATGAGGCTTATCAATAAACAAAATTGCATCTCATTTATTCTGAGCCCAATTCCATTGTATAGATTCTGAGTTCCTCAATTCTTCATTCTATACATCAAAATCATTTATTATCAGGTGCTGAGGTGAAGGTATAAAAGGCATAATTTCCAAGCGACCATATTGCTTCAGCAACAAATTTTCGTCTATGTATAACACAACCATAAAGTCAGTTGCGGTCCACTAAAGTTTCGAGAGTTATGCGTGGGTCAAAGTTTCTTGGAGAAGGGCGGTTTGTTTCCGATAAAACTGTTAATTGCGGTCGGTTTAGTTCGAAGAAGTTTTGCGGGGCATTAATCGAGGTTCCAAAGTGTTTGGGGAGTTTAATTTCAAAATCCTCGCGTCGTCAAGGTGCACGTAAACATAAAAAACCCGGGCCCCTTGAATTGTCTTTTCCACGTGTATATATATAAAAGTTTAGTTCCTCAATAAAACCGAAATGGGAACGCTCCTGCTTTTAATTCAAACACGATACTATAAAGAAAATACATTGTGATAAAATCTGGATGGCTTTTGTGTAAGAGAAAATTCAATTATTGCCCTGTAAAAGTTTAGAGCGGATTTAATTTTAATCGGTTTCGAGTCTTAAAGTTTAATACGGCTTTCCAAGAAAAATTTATACAAAATAAAAGGGCCGTATCGGAACTTTTCAAGCCACTAACCTTTTATATTGAGAAAAATGGCCTTTTATTCTAAAAGAATTGATGTTTTTTATATAAGGATTTATCAAAAATGATTCGGTTATGGCAATGCGGATTCTCTAAAGTTCTATTATGGCCTCTAGAATTGCGACAAAACTACTGCAACGTGTGTTTTAAAACGGTTAGTGTTTTCAGCTCCTTTGCATGAGGGCAATCTTGAAATTGGCTCAGAACATAAACGTTTTCCCTAGGGATGTTAGAGGATAACTAGCTTTAGTTAATAAACATTATGAAGTGAACTGGATATTTGGAATTTATTAAACAAGAGAGTTTTCGTTAAAATATCAGGTTATCGGAAACTACTTTAGCCCGCAAGGTAATACGATATTGGTGCATTATTAAAACCCTAGCTTTTGGAGTTTGCCTGTTATTATTTCGGAGAGTATTAAAACTTATTTAGCGAGAAAATCCAGGGTGCTATAGAGAAAGAAAAGAGATAAATTGCGAGACCCTTTTCCAGGCAATAGATAAACAAAAATCACGCAAGAAAGTAATTTGATTCGAATCATTTTGAATAACAACTTTAGGCGCTGCTGCTTTTCTTATCTTATCCCTTTTGGAAATAAGGGATTTTTTTCTTTAGGGTGACTTCTTCGTCGATCGAACCCTTTTGCTTTAAGATGGCATTCCTTTGGGAGATATAATTTGTCGTCCCATTAATTTGTTTGAGATCAAGAATATACATATACAGGGCCATTTTGTTATTATTTCCAATAAAAGTTTTTAATTTTATAGTAATGAGTAGATCGCTGCAGAACTCGCTGCGCTCTTCTACTTATATTACTTGTTTATTCCAAATTCTGCTCCTTGAATACAGTTGCTGAGATCTTTTTTACATCCGCTGATCTTTACGTTCTGAAATCGTTCAACCCAGACTATCAGGAATAAAAGTAATTAAAGAGTTGCTTGAGCCTAAAAAAAGGTATAGTGGGGGTGGGCTAGAGTAACGTCATACCTACTGACTTCGATCTGTGTTAGATTAATTCATGATTTTCTGATCAGTGTCTCTGAAATCTTAACTTCATTTACTGATCTCCGAAATTGTATGGTCAACATAATGTCATTTTGACTATCTTTAATTTTGAGACAGACTTTACTTACAGTTTGACTGATCTATTCTGATCTTTTTCCAATCTCAGGTTTATATTGGTTTCTTCTTCATCTTGCTCAAGATTGGGGGCAATGTTGCCAAACTATACATCATTATTTGCTACATTTTATTTGGCGCCTACCACCTTGCACATCGCTGTCTTGAAAACAAAATATCTATTTGACGCTATAGTTTTAGCCTCCCAACTACCCACTGTGATTTGACTCAATAAAAATAAGCCACTATATAAATTATGTATACACTATATAAGTAATGACCTTTCAAAGTTTTCCAAAATCTAAATGATAAGGTAGGTATGTATATCTTCTTACTAAAACGATGAAATTTCAAACTTTTTTTTGTCGAGATTTTGTATCCTAATGGTCAATCAATATACCTCAAATTCCATACACTAAATTATTAATTGAAAAATTGATAAATCACCCCAAATTGCTTAACACGATTTTATCTCAGGGACTATCAGTGCAAATAAGCTGAAATTTTCAGGGATTGTAGTCCCTTGAAAGGGATAAAATTCAGTGAAAGTTTCAGCTTTCTATCTATAATAGAAAAAAAGTTATGACCTTTCAAAGTTTTCCAAAATCTAAATCATAAGGTTTCGGTTCACTTATTGATCTAGAGAATTTGAAAAAATCTCAATACCGATCAATCTTAACTGAACATTTATATATTTTTATTTCAATGAAAATCACATTAAGTCTTTTTTTACAAGGTTCCAATGTAATATTGATTTGCGAGTCACGGATTTGGATAAACAATTAATGATCGAAGTATCGTACTTTAATCCAAGTACACTTGAACAGTGTCAACTTAGCTAACAATGCATTTTCTTCCTACACCATTCGAAAAGATTCTTTATCAGAAAGGAGCTTTTGCCGTTACAATTCCCATTAAGTTGTCTCTTCCAAGTTTCTACAGCTAGAAAAATTAAAATTATACTTTGGTTAAAAGCCGCCTTTAGACTATTTCTCAAATGCTGTAGCTGTATCAACGAGTGTTTTGGTA